CCTAACACGGACTGCTCTCAGGAACTTCAATCCTGCCAATCTGACAGCATCCTGAGTTCAACTCCCCCTCCCCGACCCGGCTCAATTTCTACACTGTCCACTCACCATCTGAAAGACAAAGGTCAACGTCCCACAAATCCGCACCGCTTTATTGAATCGGAGCTCCAGGTACTGGGCAGGGATAAGGAAGAAAAGGTACAGTAATCCTCCAGACCCCACCAGGCACTCCCTCCCTTTGAGCAGCCCAGGAAGACACAGAACAGGCTCCCTCCCAACTCCACCCCCACGCCTGGCCCCACCCAGGAAGAACTGAGAAACTCATTCTCCTTAGATGGGGCTAAAGTAGGTCCCAGCGCCCTCCATGTGCCCTGTGCTCTTCTCCTTCCCCACCTCCCTGCTCACCTCATAGGTGCTGGTGAGGTGCAGGCGGTAGAAGACCGGGATGAAGACATGAGCAGGGATCAGCAGCCCCAGAAAGTAGCAGCAGCCCAGGAACCAATACTGGGTCCCGAATCGGAAGATCTCAGATGGCACACCCAAGATGGCCACAGCTGACTGGAAAGTGGCCAGCAGGGACAGTGCCACAGGGAAGCAGCTCATTTTACGGTCTGCCATTAGCAGCTGGCCAACAGTATGGTGGCCCCAGCCACGACAAGCATGGTAGAGCCCAATGGCTAGGGAAAACAGCAGCAGCAGGGCGAACACCACATAGTCCACGGTGGAGAAGATGGGGGCTGCACCGCTGGGGTCCAAGGTCGTGAGGGGCGGGGCTAAAGTGCTCACCCCTAAGCTCATCCTCACAGTGTCTGTGTTCTCCTGAGCTAGCCTCTGCTCCTGGGATCCGGGCGGCCACGTGGTTGGGCAACAGTAGGCAAGCGGCTGCAAGTTGGCTCTCAGCCACGGTCTCACAATCCTCCACTGCCCAGGGACATGGTCCAGGGTGAGCTGCAAAGTCAGTTCCCAGTCAGGCCTACCCTGCCTTCACAGCTGTCTACCCTCAGGCCCAGACACACCAGGCCCATCAGATTCAGACCAGCCAGCACAGGGGCAATGCTGGTGACGGCCCTAGGCCTGCATGGAGTTTGGTGGGTGAGACAGAGGAGGGAGGAAGCAGCAGAGTAAGACAGCCAGGAAACAATAACTTGGCCAGGACCTCTGGATGTGCCCAACTGTGAAATTCAAGAACATTCCTGGGCCCCCTCCCTCAAGAAACAAAAGGAAAATCAACTCTGGCCCAAGCTTCCCAGAATCCGCTGCCTCCACTTGTAGGCACAGACCCAAACACTACAATGTATTAAGCCAGCAGAACCCCGCCTGGCGCCACAGCCCCAGGAGGAAGAAGAAACAGACCGAGGACAGCAGGGATTCCCTTGCTCTCCCTGACCTCCCATGGTCCCCAAGGATACCCTGCTAACCACACCGCTCCTCAGCACCCATCACCAGGCAAGCTTCCTCCATGGCAGCCCTGATTTCATTCCAGGCATCAGCAAGCCAACTACGCTGGGACCTTTTCTTTTCTTTTTCAGCTTTTTCTGAGACAAGGTCTCACTGTGTAGTTCAAACTGGCCTTGAATTCACTATGTAGCTCAAGCTGCTCTTGAACTAATGAGATCCTCCTGCCTCAGCCTCTGGAGTGCCGGGATTACAGGGCTGGGCCCTTTCTTCACATTCTTCCCACACCACTAGATGAGCCAGTCCCTCTACCTGCCATTCCACAGCCTATAATCTCAGCACTGGGGAGGTGGAGGCAGGAAGGTCTCCACAGCTTTGAGGCCACCCCTGGCAACACAGTGAGTTCAAATGCCAGTCTGAACTACAAACAAGACTGTCTCAAAAAAAGAAGGAAAAAGGGCTGGGGATTTAGCTTAGTGGTACTGTGCCTGCCTCACAAGCGCAAGGTCCTGAGTTCGATCTGCAGTACCAAAAATACAGAGTAGAAAGATTCAAAAGTTAGAGAGGCAGATTAAAGGATTTAGCTCAGTAGGTACAGAGGGTCATGCCTAGCAAGTGCATGGCCCTGAGTTCAATCTCCCGCACCCCAAATTTCAAAAAGTAGAAGAGGTAAGTGACACAGTACCACACTGGAGCCAGTGATTCAAAGTTAAGATTCCAGGACCACTCTGGAGAGAAGCCAGCCAGCCAGAGCTGTCCCATCTTGTAGGGCAAACACCTACCTGAAAAAGCAAGCCCTGTTCTGAAGCAGAGTGGCCTAGAGGAGGCAGAGGCTGAAGGTCTGGCTTTATAAGTGGCTGAGGAGATGATTAGGAGTTGGGGGTGGGGTAAAGCTCAGCAGCTACTTGTTCTGGCCCCTTCAGGAACCAATCACTGTGATCCACATGGCCTTCTTACCCTATGGCCACCAACACAGTACTAGCAGTTGTAGCAAAGGAAGCAGGGAGCCCACATCAAACAGCATTCCTAGATGGATTAGGCTTTTAGCCTAAGTCACTCTTGGCTCCTTGTGTGCTGGAGGAAGCTGGAAAGGACCAGAGAAGACCAAGACGCCTTAGTAATTCCTACACAAGAAAGAGTGATCCTCCAAAAACTCACTACAATCCTCAGAGGAACAAGGATAAGATTGTGCTATTTCAAAACCTGAAGAGCTCTTAGGATGTCACTCTTTACAGCTCCCCTCATTTCACACACAAGCATACTAAGGTCCAAATGGTTCAAGGGACCTTTCCCAGAGCAGGGCCACATTAGAATCCAGGTCTATCCATCCTATTCTCTGTGTACATTGTCTTGTCTTCACAAGCAATCCTCTAGGACAGTGGGGGCAAACCTATGGCATATGCGCTGCAGCAGGCTGTCTGTATCATTGAAAGCTCTGAAAGGTTCACCATTACTGCCCTAGGAGTACTTATTCGTATGGAGAAAAAAGTCAAGAGAATATTTACATACTACGTGTGCAGACAGCCTAACATGATGACAATTAATAGTTTAGGAACAAGTGCTATGTAAACCAACAGTTTGCTAAGTGCTTTATAAATATTAATACTACCAAGTAATGAAATAACAACCATTAACAGAGGCCTTATCATCATTTCTTTCAGGACCAGGACAGAAACCAAGCTGTAGTCAGTCATTCAAGGAACCCAGTTTGAACTTCAACTAATCTAGAGATAGATTAATACAAACTGTCTCCTGTTCCTACCCTCTAGGAGAAAGGTCAGGCCATCTTATGGCACAGTTTCCTAGGCAGATGTTGTTGCCTGGCTGGTAAATCAGCCTTCACACCTTCTTAACCTGAACTCTGCACCTCCTGGAGCCAGTGAAAGGAAATCAGAGCAGGCAACTTTTGATCACATGCCATCCAGGTACAGGAGTTAGTCCCCAGAGCAAGGTTCCCACTCTGGCTTAAGCTAAAGATGTCCTGGGCCTTTGCATTGCAACACCTTGACTTTTTCACTCCTCTTTGGCCACTTTTTACTGTTATGATAGAAGAGAAATAGCTGCTGTGTGCGGATAAGAGCATGGCATTTATCTGCCACGAATCAGTCATTATGGACAGAGGGGACTGGAGAAAGGAAGAGAGGTCTCAGTATAGAGTGGGACTGTCTACTACTGGGGCAAAACCAATGGGGCTTCCTGAGAAAGTTCTGTTTGCATAAGGTGCAGAGAATCTCCTCGATGATTGACAAGATAACCAAGCAAGATAGGAAAAACTCAACCCAGAAACAAAGCCTTCATCTGACAGGTTTCAATTCCAGGAACAGGTAGCTTTCTCAAACCTCTACACTGACCCAACAGTTCTGCCTCTCTGTGTGAGCAGAAAGGAAGAGCACAGTTGTTTCACTCAACCTGTAACACATGAGGGCAGATACAGGTGGTGGTGGGGTCCTTTATTTATTTATTTGGGGGCTTTGTGAGACAGGTCTCACTTTACAGCTCAGGCTGGCCTCAAAAAACTAATAAATAAGTAAACAAAAACACCTAACACACCACACTGCACTGAGTTGTTTTGATTCTTAGGAAAGGTAACCACCGCAAGCGCAATAGCCTCAAAAAGATTCACTCAAAATTTGTTTTATGGTTAAATTTCAGTCTGAAGGGCTTGGGGGCTCTTAAAATTGGTCAAGCGAAGCGCACACCTGTAATCCCAGCTACTCTGGGGGCTGAGACAAGAAGACTACAAGTTTGAGGCCAGCCTGGACAATTTAGCAAGGCTCTGTATCATAATGAACAAGAACAAAAAGAGCCAGGCATGGTGGTGCACACCTGTGATCCCAGCACTTGGGAGGCTGAGGCTAGAGAATCATTCCGAATCCGAGGCCAGCCTGAACTACACCGTGAGTTCAAGGTCAGCCTGGACGACGACACAGCGAGACCCTATCTCAAAGAAACACACACACACACACACACACACACAGGCCAGGAACAAAAACCAAACAACAAAAGAAGGGCTACGCACGGAGCTCACTTCTTCTTAGCTTCAATCCTGAGTACTGCAATAATAAATGAATAAATGACCAGCTAGCTGAAGGTAAGTTCAAGAGATTCCAGGGAGACTCCTGGGAGACTGCGGAGGGAAGCCTGGGCCGGCTGCTCAAAATGAACTTTGGCTCCTTGGGCTCTTGGGAGATCCCACCCAAAGCCCACTTTCCCCCAGTGCCCTTCAGTCAGGACCCGGGCACCTTGGGACCGGCCGCGCTGCCTTGCCTTATATCCGTGGTTCAGTCAGGGCTAGGAAGACCTCTTTTTGCTTCCCGAGATCAGCATCGCTCCCTTTTCCTGGAAAGGAAAGGAAAGGAAGAAGTTGAGAGCGTCTATCCTGTCCCTGCCTCCCCGCCAGGTTCCCGGGCGCTGCGCGGTCTCGGGCTGAGGTGACGGAGACTCGGAGCTCCGGGCGCCCCCGGGCTCGTGTGCTCCGCCGGGTTCGCCCTGCACGCTTCACTCCGGCATCACCCTTACCCTCTTTCTCCCACGGCTCCCCAGTTCCTCCGCACACGCGGCGTCCACCACAACGCGGTTGGCACTTCAGACCTCTCCGAGCCCCGCCTGGGGAACGCGGGTGGCCCCGC